GAGGTTGTGTCTGGAGTTTGAAGACCCTGCACAGGTCTCTTAACCTCTCTGGGGCTTCCATCTCATCGTCCGAAGGTGGAGAAAACAGCTCCCTTATTACCTTGGGGGCTCACTGATAATAATGATACCGCTGTTATCATGTGTGGCATTTGCAGAAGAAACTGCAAAGATTTTGTCTTTCTTTCCCACTCCATCAACATTTCATTCATTTCAAGTGTTAATGGGAGGGATTCATTTTTTCATCGGGCGGGTATGTTCTGAGTGCCCACGTGTATTAGACCCAGGGCCAGGTGCTGGGACACACAGGTGTGGAGGGCAGTCACCTGAGAGGTCCCCTCGCAGAAAGGCCCAGTCAGTAAGTGTGGAAGTCTCAGAAAGCTGCGGCATGGCATCTGAAGCTGGGCCCTTTGGGAGCCTAGGGAGGACAAGGTTGAGAGCACCTCCCAGACAAGGCGAGTCACCCAGTCACCTGTTAGAGTGAGACATCCGCTTAGAACAGGGGGACACTGTGTGGGCCCCATGGTCCCGAGATGGCACCTGCGACATCAGAACACCCTGACACTCCTTACTACAACCCTCCTTCTCTGCTGTCTCCTAGCACTCGGGGCCCATCATCGGTGGAAAAGTCCAGCGGTACAGCTTTGCAATACAGAGGAGCGTAGGTGGTAGTTATAGAGCTTGGGCTTGGGGCTGGACTGCCTGGGCTGGAATCCCAGTTCTACCACTGATTAGTCACGTGACCTGGGGATGCTGCTTAACTTCTCCATTCCTTTGTTTCCCTATCTGCATATCGGGGAAGATGATAGTGACAGTACCTACTGCATACAATAGGGCTGCTGTGAAGATTAAGATTAGCATTAGCATTTAAGATTAGCATTTAGCAAGAACCAAATTTTAAGTTTGACAAATCAAATTTAAATTTGGAAGCTCAGTTAAGCAGTTGCCTATTTGAGGCAACAAGTGTCAAAAACATTTTCCAAGAAACCGAGGCTGTTGAAACTCGGTTAGAACAGGGCTTGGAGACTTTGATTCGGGGCCCCTCACTGGTTGAGTTCCACAGGCGCGGACGGCAGCCGGTTCGCGCATTTCCAGCTTGTTAGTGCTAATACTGCCAGTGCCCTTGGAGGATATCCATCCAGCATGCGCTCACGTAGAAACGCCACTTTGTGAACCATTCATCGACTGTTCTAAAGAAGATGTCAGCCTGATGCAGACACATCTGGGGGCGGCCGGAGAGACTAGTTCATTTTCAAACCTGTCAAACAGTAGCTCCGGCGGCATTCTGAGCACAGGAGCTGAGAGGAGGCTGTGAAAGAGGAAGCCGGGCCTCACCACAGGGCACCGGGCAAGACCAGAGAGCCGGAAATGTCCTTCCCAGCCAGGCCCGCCTGCAGGGGCAACGGGGATGAGAGCTCACCGCAGAAGAGACCTAGCGATTACGCTCAGGGCCGGAGAGCAGTCACTGCAATCCCTGAACACAAGCTCTCGGCTGCGAATGTCAGAACCGCTGTGAGAGTCCCTGGGAGACCCGGGTCACTCAGACCTTTGTTATTGCTGCTGCTGAAAAATCGTAGATTCCAAATTTGGAAACATCGGTGGGGAGGAAGTTTGACTTTGCTTCATTGATCGGGCGCTCACGCTTCCAGATGGCTCCGCTCTCTCGGCTCCCTCCGCCCCCATTCCTTGCAGCGGCTTTGCGCATGCCCAGAGCCTGCAGCTGGCTGGGGAGTCCTGGAGACGGTAGTGAGGTCAGATGGACAGTGACCAGAGGAGCCAACCAGAAATCTGAGCTCCTGTGTCCGCTGTGCCTCTAACCGTGTGATCTCAAGCGCGTCGTTGAACGTCTCTGGGTCTTTCAAACGTTGGAGGTGCAGGGGCTGGTAAAGGACAGCAGAGAGGAAGGAGGGCGGGCTAAATGGTCACTCAGACGTCCTCAGGGGTAGTAACTCCGAAGGGCCGGCAGACACAAGGCAAGGCCTTGTGGTTCAGGGTGCGGCTGGGGAGCCAGACAGCGCTGAGCTTAATTCCAGCTCCACGGCTTCCCAGCAAGTCAGCTGCTCTGGGCCTCAGCTTCATCAGTTGTAAAGTGGGAATAAAAGTAGCACCTCCCACATGGGGTTGCTATGTCACCTAAGCATACAGTAAGTCACCATCATCATCACCTTCCTCAGAATCAGAATGAATTCAGAGGTCAAGAAAGCCTGACAGAATTTGAATCTTGGCTTGGATACATCGAGTGATTTGGGCAAGTCGTTTAACCCTTAAGAATCACTTTTCTCATCTGACGCTGGGATGATAATTATTATGCATATACCACAGGGTGGCTTTAGGGACCAAATAGGAGCACCTCCATAAAGCTCACAGCACAGTTCCTCCAGACTGTTAGCTCTTTAAGGAGAGCTGTATTATTTTCCCGGATGTATGACCCGTTTTCTTTGGCGAGGGATTTGGTTGGCACAGTGGGGCCACTTGTAGCTTGTTAGCAAAACCAAGGTATAGGAGGAACTACTGTCTGGGTAGGAATGAAATTCCTAGTCCTGCAGCCAGGCCCCTCTGGCCCGGTTACACATCAGTGACCTGAGAGTAATGACTGACTAGTCGCAGACTCAGGGACTTTCACGGAAAAGCCTTTCCCTTTCCCAGCCCTGAGCAGGCCAGGCACCCCCCCCCCCCCACCCCGCCCCCGCCAAGGAAAGATGCTGTGAGCTCCTCCCCCTCCCCCCACCCCCAGCGCATTTCTTCCAGCTTCCCAGTAACAAGCCCCAGCTTGGGCTCCTTTGGGGCAAGACACAGCTTCGGGGCCAGGGGTGTTTGTGCAGGGAGGAGGTGGAGGTAGTCTCTGGAGCTTGATTCATTACAGCAGCAATCTCCGTCAAACAGGTTCCTGCAACCTCTCGGAGGCCTCTTTGTTCCATTGTTCCAGAAAGCCAGACAGGCCTCCCCGTAATCCTGGAAGGGGGAGGGGAGGGGGGAGAGGGCGGGGGACGAAGCCCCCTGGAGTCTAGCCGGCAGGCTGCTGCGGATGGCGATCTCATCTCTGTTCACACAACACCAGGGGATCCCATTCTGTTTGATTATAGCTTGTAAACCTTGGGCAACTGGCTTTCTTTGCTATTTTCTTCTCCAGGGGCTGAGGGGTGGCCACAATCTGTGGAAAAAAGCTGGAAGAATACTGGTATATTTTTTTTTTGGACGCAGACTAGATTTTCTTGAAGAGTTTTTCCAAATCTGCAAGTCAATGATAGGAAAACTGGGATATCAATGGACATTCGAAAAAATTACTGAAAAAAAGGGGGAAGGAAGCTTTCAGATAATTTGCAGCATAAATTTGTTTTTCATACAATGGAATATTATTTGGCCCTAAAAAGGAATGAACTATTGATACATACTACATACAGATGAATACTGAAAACATTATGCTGAGTGAAAGATGCCAAGCACAAAAGGCCACATATTACATGGTTCCATTTATATGAGATATCCAGAACAGTCAAATCCATAGCGACAGAAAGTACATTAAGTGGTTGCCCGGGGGTGGGGGAGAAGGGAATAGGAAAGGCTGTTAATGGGTATGGGATTTTCCTGAGGTGATGAAAATGTTCTGGAATTAGAGAGTGGTGATGTTTGCACAATTTTCTGAACATACGGAAACTGCTGAATTGCACACTTTAAAAAGGTGAATCTTATGGTATGTGGGTTGTATCTCAATTTTAAAAATTGCACGATAAAACACTTGGGTTTCAGCCTGTAAGAAACTATGGAGGCTGATAGTGTGTTACCAAAAAACAAAACAAAACCCAAAAAACTACTGGTCAGACAGTGAAGAACTGGGCTCAGTCTCAGTCAGCTGCCTATCCAATCATCTGCCCGCAGGCATTTATCGAGCACTTACTATGTGTCAAGGCATGGGCAAGAACCAGGTATATATTGATGAATGAGAAAATCTGTCCCTCCTTCATGGCCTCCCTCTAGCTCATTGTGCCCTCTTGGGCAGTTTGTTGAACTTCTCTGACCCTGTTTCCTCATCTGTCCCTATGAATGTATAAGAGGCTGAGGTCCTAGGAAAATACGACACAATTGTATCTTACCTGGAACAGTGGTTCCCAACCCCATGGTGCATTAGCACTTGCCTCAGAGCCCCGAGAACTGACAGGTGTCTGAAGGTCCTGTTTCAGTCAGCCCCAGGTGGCTTTGTGGCACTATCAGGTTGGGAATCCCTGCCCAGGCACCTCATAGTCCAAAGCCTAAAGGAAGTTTCCTGCCTTCTCTGGTTGCATTCTGGATTGTCCCAGGTCTTCCAAAACACACTTCAGAATCACCACTGACACCTCCCTTTGGGGACCCTTTATTCACAGAGCACTGCTGAAGGGACCCGGCATTTTACCACCTGCAAAATTAATTTTTCCTGCACTTCACTTTCCACTGGTGTTAAAAAGAGTGAAACCAGGAAAAAGTTCCAAAACAAAACAAAATTACACATCCATTTATAGGGTCATTTTGTACTTTAGAACTAAGATGCTCGTTTTGCCCAGTTCTCATTATTTGGGGGAATATTTTCTATGAAGTTTCCTAAGTACAGACAATATTTTTCAGACCGAAGGGTACATGATTGTTATTTTAAGGTAGGGTTGTGATTCACATAGGCTAGGTCACAACATTGGTAAATGAACTTTAAATGTGAACAGACGTTTACACACACACACACACACACACACACACACACACACACACACATCCTTAAAGCTATGACGTTTTAATATCCTCAACCTCAGTACTTGGTGCTTCCTCCTAGTTGGACAGGTAGGCAGAATGAGGTTCAACGTTCTGTTAGCTGTGTGCACATTTGAAAGTGGAGTCGTCCCTAACAGGCGACCACCAGGGGGCGCCCGATACCTTGCGGCTGCAAAAAACCGGAAGTGACAGAAGAGAGGGTGAGGGCTGACAAAGGTGAAAGGTCAGTCAGGCTTAAGGTGCACAGGAGCAGACAGGGGGCTTCCTACCTGGATCACTCCTCTCCGCAAAGGCCACAATGTGGATCCCGTTCAAATCATCTTCCTATGGGAGAAAAGAATCAAAGTTACTCTCCTGGGTAGAGAGGTACCAAGGACAGACTCAGAGACGGGAATGGACATGGGAGCTGGTGGAGGGGGGTGGACGCAGGGGCACAGAAGAGCCGAGCAGGGCATGCATTCAGGACAGGAATACTGATGAGCCCCTGGGAGGAATGTGTGGAGTTTGATCAGTGGGTTTGCAAGACAGGAAAACACCAACTGCACACAGACATTAGCACTAAAGGGGCCTCACCCCGGTGGTCTGGTGGGTCCAGGAGAGCAGCAGTAAAAGGCAAAATTAGGAAGAATGTGAGTCTGGTTTATCAGGAGCTCTGAAGGCAACAAGCATTCTGGACACCGCTCAGTGAGTGCGCACGTCCGTCTGTGTTCTCAAGAATTCACCGCCAGCAAATATAATCAGCGATATACCAGATTATGGAAACTTCCGAATGCTGCTGACAGATCCTGAAGCTGTCCCCAAACAGGCAGCAGACAGGACTCTGCGGTAAATTAGGATGTGGGTCTGTTTTGGTCACGTGAGGATCGTATGCAAGTGTAGTGCTTCCCTGTTAAGACATCTCTTATTGAAGAAGCAGAACCTGTGTGGTCAGTAGGGGACGCCTTGCTGACTGTGACCTCCAGGTTGTTTCCTTGGGGTCCTTTCTGCTCTGGAACCCAAGCTTGCCAAAGCAGGATAGGCCTCTAAAACATGTCATGAAAGTGGGAGGCTACAGGGAGAGTCTGGAATTTGGAGTTAGGGAAGGTTGAGGGTGTGACAGTAAAAGTGTGTGTGGATGTGAAGGCTGGGACGAGGTAAAGAATCTAGAGAGAGTATTTCAAATCCATGGACAAGCAAGTGGCATTCCATGTTTCTATGTCCTGGGCAGAAAGGACCATATATATGTGCCTTGTGTCTCCTCTGCACTGATTATTCCTGCAGAAGGAGAAGTGGGAGCTTGGAGGGTCCCCTCTTTGGGAAATGTGATCCTCAGTAGACCTGGAGAGGAAGTTGTGTGAGAACGAGGCACCGGGGACAAACCCAAGTGAATATGATTATCACTGACACCAGCAGAGGGATTCACTGGATGCCCTGAATGTGTCATATCAGAATCATCCTAGGGAAAAAAAAAACAAAACTCCAGGCATCTCAACCCTCCCATGATCTCTGTTTCCATTTCAATTGATTTTAATGCTGGTGCAATCCTATCTAAATGCTAATTTTTTCCCCTTTGAGTTTGGAATGGACAAAAACCTCCAAATAGTCTAAGAGAGATTAAATGGAAAATATTATTATTAAAAACAAGAGAGTAGGCACTGCCACGGTCAGACTCTCTGGGGAATTGAATTTTACAGATAACGTGTGTGTGTGTGCCTGCGCGCGTGCATGAGTGCAGGTTTATTACACAAATCTGACAGCAAGCAGAAGGGGAGTCTGAGGTTTCACTATTTTACATTTGCTATTATCGCCAGACAGAATATCCTGATCAGTTCTCATTAGGCTGCCCCGTGTCTCTGTCTCCTGCCATCAGTTGGAAGTAAGCAGTGTTAATTCTGTTCATTTCTGTGTGCCCTTCTAGAATGCATTTGGAAATTGGTTTTAGAATTAAGAATCCATATTCGTTTGCTAAGAGGCTGCTTATAATACAGCTGTCACTCCCCAGGCCTGAGGTGGTCCCTGGATGGAGAGCCATATGTAACCCAAAGAAAGAGCCTCTCTCTTTGTGGGTCTCAAAGATTCAGCCCACAAACCTGTATTGAACACCTGCAAAGAGGCAGGCGCTGCTCAGTGCCAGGTGTTTTCAGTATTTTCAGTAATAAACTCACAGAGCAAGAATCCATGGACAAGCCAGTAAGTCAGGGTTACTCAATGAGAATCCAATGTGCATGGGGGGAGGAAGAGCCGAGCTGACCATCCACGGGCCTGAGAACACCCCAGGGGCTTTCTCTGAACCCCACAGCCTTTGCTGCCCAGATCACCCATTTAGTCATCGCCTTGCCTTGGAAATAACCTTTTTTTTTTTTTTTTTTTTTTTTTTTTTTTTTTTTTTTTTTTTTTGTGATGCGCATGCCTCTCACTGTTGTGACCTCTCCCGTTGTGGAGCAGAGGCTCCGGACGTGCAGGCTCAGTGGCCATGGCTCACAGGCCCAGCCGTTCCGCGGCATGTGGGATCTTCCCGGACTGGGGCACGAACCCGTGTCCCCTGCATCGGCAGGCAGACTCTCAACCACTGCGCCACCAGGGAAGCCCGGAAATAACCTTTTTAAGTGCACGAATCTCTTCTCAACCAGATGGTAAGCTCTCTGAGGGAAGGCATTATGGCTTAAAATGATAATGATGATGAAAATGGAGACAATACTATTTGCCACCCTCTGTATCAGTACTTTGTAAATACATTGTTTCTAAATCTCAAATCAAAGTCTTATTCCTATTCAATGTTTCAAGAATTAAGTGACTTACCTTAAGGCATGAGATGGTACGTGACATAACTGGGATTGAAGCCAGTCCTGTCTGGCCCCAAAGCCCATGCTCCTTTCTCACTGAAGGGGTCCAGAATAAGCCACTGTGGCATAAAAACTATTTTGGCTGAAGGCATTTGAATTCCTGAAATCTTTTATCCGCCTAAAAGTAGAGCCTCCCCAAAGAACTTGTCATCACTCTAATTTTCTTTTCTCAGATAGACATTATCACAAAACTATCATATCTGCCATCTCTTCTCCTAAGGGCCCATTTATCTTTTCAAAAAGTCATTTCGTTCTCCCAGAAGTGCTCCTCTGCCCCTACCCACCCCATTCCCCATTAAGATGGTATATAAGCCCCTCCTTGAATCATGTTTGTGAGCTCGCATGCATAAATAGCTAATTAAATCTGTGTTGTTGTTTTTTTTTTCCTCTTGCCAATCTGTCTTTTGTCAGGTTAATTTGTAGGCCCTAAGAAATGAACCTAAGAGGGTAGAGGAAAGATTTTCCTCCCTGACCTTATGAACAACAGCAGAATGGGCTCCGTAAATCTATTGTCTCTCCACAGGCTTTGCAGAAGATGTTGCAAACTCTGGTCAGTGGCTCTTACTTAAGTCGAAAGAGGCCAAGCAGGGGCTTTTATACAAAGTGTCTGAGCACCAGATCCCCCAAAGAAGTGGAAATTTGGGAGTTACTTTGGTGAATACCTTACTCTAGATTCCCTAGCACTTTGTATGTCCCTTTGTCATAGCAGCAAGCATACTGGGCTGGTGTTGTATTATTGCAACCGTTTCATCTACTTAACCTTGAATTCCTAAGGACAGGACAGCAAGGCTTATTTTTATAACCTCCGTACTTAGCACAATGTAATAGGTTCTTCCTAATGTTTATTGACTTAAAAAAAAAGAATATAGTGATAAAAATCTCACATACCGCTTGAAGAAAATTAGCAAATATTAGAGATACCAAGGAGAAATGAAACATCAATTACCCACCAATCAGATAAATTACCATTGTTCATATTTAACTCTGTTTCTTTCCAGTCTTGGCTGAATGTTTGCTCTCATGTTGAATGAAGAGATGCAAAGGAAAAAAAGAAAGGGCTGATAGTTAAAACTGTCAGACTCCCTAACTAAGGGGCAGTGAAATGGCGCAGGGGCTCATCTGGAGGAGGTCTCTGCCCCCCTCTGGGAATTACTTGCCTATTGCAACCAAGGGAAGATTCTTTCAGAAAGAACTGCTGACCCTCATTTCTGTGGGCTTTTGCTAAGGACTCTGGCTGACCACTTGCTAGGATGGAGAGCTGGTGGGCAGATGGAGTCTCAAAGAGGAAGGACAGGTCAGCATTGGGTCTGGACCGCCCTGCTCTACCTTGACATTCTTTGAATATTCTAAATAAATAAATAAATAGCTGTCTGGGGCTTCCCTGGTGGCAGTGGTTGGGAGAGTCCGCCTGCCGATGCAGGAGACGCGGGTTCGTGCCCCGGTCCGGGAAGATCCCACGTGCCGCGGAGCGGCTGGGCCCGTGAGCCGTGGCCGCTGAGCCTGCGCGTCCGGAGCCTGTGCTCCGCAACGGGAGAGGCCACAACAGTGAGAGGCCCGCGTAGCGCAAAAAA